TTTTTTTGAAAAATATATTTAATTAAATAGAAGTGTAAGACAATGGATACATATATTTTTAATTTTTATTTTTTTATAATATGAAAAAATATTTTATTTAAAAAAATATAAAAAATTTGTTTATAAATAATAGAGACATTTTCAAAAAAAAAAAAAACTTAAGTACAAAAAACAGTGTATAAAAATAATTTATTTTACATATAAATTTAAAAGCAGAAACAAATATCAGAATTTTTTATACATATTTTTTAAGTACTTTTTTTCTCAGCGAATGTAAATATACAGGGTTGCCCATATTCGACGGACCCATCTGGCAACTTCATAACTTTTGACAGAGATGTCACATCGCTTAATGAAATACCGCGTTTGAAGCGTCAGTCCAAGCAAATTTTTACCATGAACCAATGCACGCCACGCGAGCGCTCAGAAATAGTTGAAATTTACATTAAATAGAAGAAGTCAATTGTGAAAACTCAACGTGCTTTTGAGTTTTTTGTGAGAAGTACGCCTTCTAAGAACACCATTAAGCGTTTATACGAAAAATTTTCGACTGGTAAGGCACTTTCTAATCCGAAGAGGCCATATAAAAGTCGACCAAGGCGATCGGCCGAGAATATCGCTGCCGTACGAGCCAGTGTTGAGAGGTCCCGAAGAACATCCCAAAACGCGGTTCTCAGCAGTTGGGCATGGCTCGGTCCACTTTAAACGGATTATTCGCATTGATTAGCATTTGCTCCTGTACAAAATTCTATTGACGCAAAGAATGTTGCCTGAGGACAAGCCTCGTCGATTGGAATGGGCCCAAAAGTCCATCGAATATGGGCAACCCTGTACAAAATAATTCTCTGTTTTTTTTTTTTGTTTGGTAATAATTTTTTAATTTGAATACAAGAAAAAACTTGATACGCAAATATTTCTGAGAACTAAGTTATTGAAACAAGTAAATAGTTAATAAAAATAATTGGAGATAATCGGTCAAAATTTAGGTATAGCCCCAATATACATTTTCGTCCAATTTGGCTTATATTGTGACCAAACTTGTAATACCAACCCAAATAGTATGGAATATTTCATGTTCGACCAGATTGGACCTGAAAAAAGTATGCTAAATGTGATACAAATCGGTTCAGATATAGCTGTAGCTCCCACATATATTTGTTCATCAGATTTGTTATTTTTATCCTTCGCATCCGTAATATGGACTTTGTAAGAACGATATTTGGGGAAATATATCTAATTCAACTCAGAAATACTCTTGTTAAATTTTATCGAGATCGGTTATTATCAGGACAAAGCTCCCATGTATATCTTCGTCCGATTTGCCTTTTATTGTGCACCAAATGTCTAATATTTGCCCAAATAGGATGGAATTTGGCACTTACGACCAAATTGAGCATAGAAACCAGTATTTGTTACAGTTTGGGGGAAATTGGTTCAGATATAGCTATAGTTCCCATACATATTATTCATCGATTTGTAGAATTTGCCCTGCGTAGCCATAATATGGACTCCGTACTAATGATATTCGGGGAAATATATCAAATACAGCTTAGAAATACCATTGCCAAATTTTATCGAGATCGGTTCAGATTTAAATATAGCTCTCATATATATCTATCGGATTTCAAGTTAGTTGTGCACCAAATGGATAATAAAAGTCCGAATTGAAAAGGCACAAATGTCTCGGCAAATTTAGCAGAAATCGATTCAGAAGAGGATATTCCTCCCATATACACACATCAGAGTTGGTATGATGTAATTTTCACATTAAAACTTTTGTTAGTTATTTGAAGCTCTACTAAATATGCAAAGTGGTGTATGGTATCATAAAGTCGGCTCCGCCCGACTTTAAGATTTTCTTTATTGGTTTTTTTGTATTCAATGCGTGCATGAATGTGTGTGAGTGTGTTTTTACGCCACCATTTAGAATTTTGCATTTTGCTTTATGAGGCTGCATTTTTTACGTTGGATTACTCAAGCCGAATTTGACATGATTTTTTGTTTGTTTGTTTGTAATTCAGGCACATATGTGCTGCTTTCCATTTTGAATTTGGGAGATGTGTTTGAGTTTTTTTGTTCACGTATACCTTTCGAATTTCTATATTTGTCGGAATCATATTTTTAAGTGTTTTTCATTTAATGTTTTATTTTAGTTCTTCTCTGCTTTTATAGTTTACGCAGAATGAAATTGAAGCAAGGGTAGTTGTTCGGTTAGTGTAGAGAGAGATGGTTTTGATGTAAAATAAATTTTATATGAAAAGGGCGAAGGAATGTGAAATAAATCGGATTGATATGGTAATCTCAAAGTGCCAAAAATGCATACTAAAATTGCTTGAACTAATATATATTAGGTTATTTAATTTGATATGCATATGCCACTTAAAAATACCCACATCAATCCGATTTATTCAGTATTACTCCGCCTTTACCAAATCAGGGTTATTTTTATACCCTCCACCATAATATGGAGGGTATATTTAGTTTGCAATTCCGTTTGTAACACCTCGAAATACACATTTAGACCCCACAAAGTATATATATTCTTGATCAGCATAAAATTCTATGTCGATTTAGCGATTTCCGTCCGTCTGTCCGTCTGTGGAAATCACTCTAGCTTCCGAACAAATTGAAGTAGATTGACAAAATATTGCTCAAATGTATGTTATGTCTGCAGGACTTGTTGGTATTGAAAATGGGCCATGTAGGTCCACGTTTTGGTATAGCCCCCATATAGCGGTACCTCCCGATATTCGGTATTTTGATGATTCTAGCGAATTTATTCACCGGAATTGTTTCAAATTTGCTATTTGAAGTTCGTAATGGATACTACAGCCTATGGCAGATATTTGTCTGTTGAAGTCCCCGTTTCGTAGAGCTCCCATATTCGGTATTTTGATGATTTTAACAAATTTATTCACCGGAATTGTTAAAAACTGGATATTGGATGTTCGTAATGGATACTACAGTCTAAAATAGAAAATTGTCTTTGCAGGTCAACGTCTTCGTATAGCCTCCATATAATGGTACCTCCCGATATTAGGTATTTCGATGATTCTAGCGACATTATAACCGTTTTTATACCCTACACCACAAGGTGGTCAGGGTATTATGTCTTTGTACATTTGTTTGTAACAGGCAAAAGGAAACGAGATAGACCCATAGTTCCTTTTGGTGATCTGTATAGAATGAGTCGATTTATGCATCCGTCTGTCCATGTATTTTTGTAAACAAAGTACAGTTCACATTTATTGCCCTATCCAGATGAAATTTTGCACTAATCATTTGTTTGGCCCAAGGACGAACCCCATTGAAATTGGAGATAATCGGTCAAAATTTATATATAGCTCCCATATATATCTTCGTCCGATCTGCCTTTTATTGTGCACCAAACGTGTAATATCAGTCCGAATAGTGTGGAATTTTGCACGTACGATCAGATTGGACCTGAAAATAAATATGCCAAATTTGATCGAAATCGTTTCAGATATAGCTATAGCTCCCATATATATTGTTCATCCGATTTGTTATTTTTGTCCTCCGCAGCCGTAAAATGTATTCTGTAACAACTATATTTAGGGGAATATATCAAATGCAGCTCAGAAATACATTTGCTAAATTTTATCGAAATCGGTTCAGATTTGGATATAGCTCCCATATATAACTTCGTCCGATTTACTTTTTAATGTGCTCCAAATGTCTAATATTTGCCCAAATTGCATGAAATTTGGCACTTACCGACCGAATTAGCTCCCATATATACTGTTCATCCGATTTGTCATATTTGTTCCCCACAGCCGTAATATGCACTCCGTTACAACGCTATTCAGCTAAATATATCAAATACAACTCAGAAATATCTTTGCCAAATTTTATCCAGATAGGTTCCAATTTGGATATAACTCTCATATATATTTTTATCCGATTTCAAAATATTGTGCACCAAATGGGCAATACAAGTCCGAATTTTAAGATACAAATGCTTCGGCATATTTAGTCCTTTGAACTTGAAATTATAATAATAATCATGATTGAATTCTCCCATAAAAACTTTTAATTGTTATGCGCAGCTCTACTAAATTAGCAAAGTGGTGTAGGGTATCATAAAGTCGGACCCGCCCGACTTTAAGACTTTCTTTAGTGTTTTTTTTTTTTTTTTAAGATTCGCATTTGAATATTGTAATGGCTTATGACTAATGTTACCTACGCAGGTTAATGTCGTCTTATAGACCCTAATATAATAGCTGCATTCGTTATTTTTAAGATTTTAACAGAATTTTGGCACAGCCTACCATAGTTCTTTATGTGTACTTTACACCCTGAAAGAGAACTGTCTATGTAGGTCCACAGTTTATACATTACCCTCTGGAAGAGAATTGTCCATATACATAGGTCCACGGTATCATATAACGCCTGTATTATGGTTCCTCCCGATATTAGTTATTTTAATGATTTTTGCAATGTTAATCACCGGCATTGTTTCAAATTTCGTACATAAAGTTCAGAACAGTTACTACAGTCTATGACACAAATTACTTATGCAGGACCACGTCTTCGCATAGCCCCATATAACGGTTGCCATATGAGCGGCATTTTCCGACGATTTTTTGTTTAATTTTTCAAGTTTCTTTCGAATGGTGGAGGGTATAAGATGTTGGGCCCGGCCGAACTTTGCTGCTTTTTTCGTGTTCTACTTCTACTTTAATAATCTGCTTGATTTTCTTTGCAATTAGAGAAAAAAATTATATTTGTCGCACAGTGTAATTAAATGCGAAAAGAGTAACACTTAAACCCAGTTATATGAGAGAAGTTTGAGAAAAATATTTATTTTTGCACAGATTTGTCGAATTTTCTCCAAATTGGATTGGAAAATGTTGCGAAAGCTTTTAACATCTCAAGCACTGTATTTATTTTTCAGTTTTTAAATAAATTTTACTAAAATATATTTTTTATATTTTTTTAAATTTCATTAATTTTTTTCCTTTTCCCTTGCTCTCTTACAGGGTGAATGCTCAGCTGGTACACTGCCTGTTGCATGGGTCGATGAAGGTCCCGGTCCGCCAAAGTGTCACAAATCATGTAAAAGTGATAACGACAAAAAAGACGACGACGACGACGACGACGACGAAAGAGAAGAAGAAACGCCATTAACAAATAAGTTAAATAAGAATAAAATGAGTAATACAAATAACACTAGTAATAACAGCAGCAACAACAAACATAAAAACAAAAAGGATAATAAAATAAATATAAAACTAGTAGGCTATACATCAACAACAAACACCTTTAACATTAAGCTAAGAAATAGTCAGCCAACTATTAGTCATAGTTCCAATAACGGAGACACAGACGGAGACGGCTATATTGGCGTAGGAGGTGACGTCATCAGAGATAGAGCCACAAAGGATTCCAGTAAGCAGGGCAACAGAAAATCCAAACAACAACAGCAACACAGTCAGAAGCTGTTTAATCCTTTTAATTATTATCAAATTCACAAGAACTACAACAACAACTATAGCAAAATGACTAAAACGAGACGCAATTCAAATGAAAACCGGCCACAAATAGCCAGGACGACGACAACAACAACATCGATGGCAGACAAGGCCATAGCCGGAGCGGCAACATTCGATGCGGCAGCAGCATCAGCAGCACTAGTATCAAAAACAACATCCGCCTCCTCTTCCTCTTTAGCCTCTTTGCCAGCAGCAGCAGCAGAAAGTTCAACGACTGTGGAGTTGGCCACAGGAAAAACAAAAGCACAAACAAGTGCAAATATGACAAATGCCAATGAAAATACCACCAATATTTTAGATGCAACAATTACCCACACAGACACACACCAATACAGCGATGACATCTATGAGTTTATGCATAAAATGCAACAAGATGCTGCCGCACACAGTGACACCGATGGTGTCGAGGATATTGTCGCCGATGATGATGATGATGGCGATGGCGAAGATGACGAGGAGGATACAGATGATGACATCGACCATAATGTCCATAATGATGCTGCCGTGGCCGATAATGCTGCCTTTGCAATGCAGCTGCAGCAATTCCAGCAGCAGCAACAGCAACACCACCACAACAATCAACCAACCCCACAGAATCAGGCCAACAATAATATTGTCAAAATGAAACTGACGGCGACGACAGCTGGCGCCAGCAGCCGTAGTGCCAGTCAACAATTCCAATTGAAATATAATCGCCTGCAATCGGATCTTAATGAAAACAATAACAACAACAACAATAATAATAATGGCGGCAATGGTGGTGTTGGTGGTGGCAACGCCAATAACAATAACAAAAGACATCATCACTCCTATCAATTGCAAATACAGGACGTGCCAGATTTCAGCAACAAAAACAACAACAACAACAATCATGACAGCAACAACAACAATTATGGTGCTGGCCAACAACAGCGTCTGGCATATGTCAACAGCAATAGCTACGTCAGCAGCAGCAGTAGCAACAGCATCAGTGATGTGTTCCCAGCCACGGAACAAAAACATCAACGACAACAACAACAACAGCCACAACAACAGTGCCTTGATTATTTGGGCGACAGTGCCGAAACAACGCCCACGCACTTATGTACTCATCTCACCTCACCCAGCCAATTGTTGGCCCAGCTACGCCATTTGCGTCTGCGAAACTGTTGCGAACGCAATGTCTACAGTGCCCTGCACACCCTGGCGCTGAATGTCACGCTCAGCGGCGGGGAATCGTGCATACACATCCTGGAGGATTTAATCGAACTGGATGCATTGGCATCGCGCATCACATGCGGCCTTTCCGAGATACTTTTTCGCTTCGATTGCCGTCAAGTCTATTCGATAATACATCAGTGTGAGGATTGTAAGGTAAGTGGAGCAAATTGTGAAAATCTCATTTTTAATCTCGCTTTTGGTATTTTTAATATTGAGTCAATATTTGAACAGGGAAATTCATCATTAAATATGGAGTAAGTGGGATTAAGTGAAATGTAAAGGGGGACTATTGTGTTGTATGGCTTGATTAAAATCGTCAATGATGCGAAGAATTCGGAGACAAAAATAATGTGGAATTTTGGAATAAAAATAAAAAAAAAAAAGGAAAAAGCCCAAAGCCGGGTCGAACTATTTTGCCATTTGGAACAAATTTGGAAATTTTCAAAAAAAAAATATATAATAAAATTCTGTTAAAATCCAAAATTCGAATATAGCCGTTATATTGGGGTCTATACGATTACGTGAACCTCCATAGGCAACTTTTGTCGCAAATACATCGATGAATTATGTAACTAAAATTGTCAAAATACCAAATACAGGGAGGTACCGTTATATCGGGGCAATACGAAGACCTAGACCTGCATACTCGTAGAAAATTTTCTGTCAAAGGCTGTAGTACCTATTAGGAACTTCAAATACGAAATTTCCTACCGAATATTGGAAGGTACTGATATATGCGGTCTATACGAATACCTGGACCAGCATAGATTGTATTTCTCATTACGAATTTTAAATACGAAACTCGAAACAACTCTGGTGAATAATTTCCCTAAAATCTTTGAAACACTGAATATAGGGAGGTACCGTTATATGGGGGCTACATGATATCGTGGCCTGCCTGCAGACAAAAAAAAAAAACTGATCTGTGCAAAATTTTAGATTCCTATCAATAGACGGTTGGACAGGGATAAATTGAATAAAAATTGAATTTTACGCTAATCATATTAGAGACATTATTCATTGAAATTGTTTCAAATTTCATATTTGTAGTTCGGAATATGTAGTACCCACATAGAGGTTTTCATTTGAGCAGTATTTTTCGACGTTTTTTTTTTGCAGTTTTTCAAGTTCATTCTTAATGGTGAAGGGTATTAAAACTGTTTATACCCTACACCACAAGATAGTCATTATACCCTACACCACAAGGTGGTCAGGGTATTATGTCTTTGTGCATTTGTTTGTAACAGGCAGAAGGAAACGAGAAAGACCCATAGTTCATTTTGATGATCTGCATAGAGTCACAGTCTAAGTCGATGTATGCATGTCCATCCGTCCGTTTGTCCGTCTGTTCGTCCGTCCGTCTGTCCATGTATTTTTGTAAACAAAATACAGGTCGCATTTATTTCCCGATCCAGATGAAATTTTGCACAGATCATTTGTTTGGCCCAAGGACGATAGGGTTCGTTTTGGAAATAATCGAGAATTTTTACCAAAAAATTTTCCAGAAAAAAAAGTTATTCGGGATGGAATTCAAACCTGATAGTGTGATTTCTTTATATTTAGCTGGAAAACAACATGTGTCTATAGTTAGAGCTGCAGTGCTCTAAATGTGAATAAATCTTTTGTGTCTCGTACCATCGCTCGTTAGCGTGATACTGGTAGGTTAGGTTAGGTTACAGGATGTGTGGCTGTGTAAAAACAACCACTCCACTCGGAGACCTATTGGCCCATTGTGATCATCCTAATTTAGAAAAAATTGAAGTGAAATAAGTAGGAGGTTAGAGTAGAATATAGATCGGAAATATAAGAGTTAGTGGGTTTGCATCCACGGTGTAGTCAACATGTCGTCCTTAGCCATTTTAGTCTTCTGGCTAACTGACGAATAACTACTGGCATGGTTTCGGAAAAGCATGACAAATCGGGCAGAATTTGCTTACCTAGAAGCCTATGTCTTACTCCGATCAGGGTAGGACAGTGACAGAGTAAGTGTTCCACCGTTTCTGTTTCTTCCTCAGCTTGGCAAAGCCTGCAGTATTCAGTGTCGTCACCCCCCATTTTGAAGTCATGGCCTTTATGTTGCAATGACCTGTAATTAGACCCACCACAAGCTTCAAGTCCAACTTCGTCATGGATGTGAGTGACCGTGAAGTGGACGGTAGAATACAGCAACATCAGAAGAAATGGTTCAAAAAGTAAAGGAGCGACTTGATCGAAACCTGCGTCGCAGTGGCCGAAAAATGGCTCGTGAGCCAGTACGCGCCACCTCAGAATGGTTAAAAAATGAGGTTTTCGCTTCATTTCCAGCGCACAATTCCCACCGGATACCAATCCGTTGGACTATTGTGTCTGGAGTATTTTGGAAAGCAAAATTGGCACTAAAATTCCAAACTATCGATCACCTCAAGCAAGGGCTTCGGCGGGAATGGGCCAACATTCGGGAAACGTTTGACGGTTTCATTAGTCGTTTGAAGGTCATGATTCGTGCCAAAGGTGACCAATCCGAACAAGTCTAAACTTATTGTAAATTTTGATTCTATTTCCGACATTATTTGCTCTCATTCAATAAAATTAAAAAAAAAAGTAAAAATTGTGGCCCTTGACTTTGTTGCATTTTTTTATCTCATCCTGTATATATCAAATTCCAGTGAATTAAAGCTTCGATTAATACGGGGAAGTATGTAGGATCAATTGTATAGTTATTCTCATGATCAGCTGTGCCTGGCATGTAGAGGCATTGGTACACAGAATGATTTGTTTTTTACGCTCCCGAAGAAATAAAAAGTATAACATTGCAATAAATACGTTTACACAAAATCTTCGTATATAAATTTTTTAATGCATATGAAATCCAAAGGGGTAGCTATGCGCACTTGTTATAACCTCATCATCGTTCCTCCCGACCTTTTCCTTACTTGTTTCTCAATAAACCCAAGCAGACCTTTTCTCTACAAATGACTACACATCCACACCCCTTCGAACCCATTTCCCTTAAATCTTTAGCCGACCAACATTTAACATGCCCATTATAAAGTCATTTCTGCTTTCAACATGAACATCGTATCGTATGAGAAACACAGCGAATATAATTTACCGTGACTTAATTTTAGTCAAGCTGAGTGCGGATGTGTGTGTGTGGGCGCGTTTGTGTGATAATATCCGTTTATGTCACAACTTAATAATTAAGTTTTGTGTGGGACTGGATAACAGAGATGGCAAAAAGGCAATGAGAAAGAGAAGAAGAAGTCGTTCATAGTTGGCGGTCATTGTGTGCTTTTGAACGTAAGTACTCTTTGCGGCGAGAGTTTTTTAACTCACTTTTGTAAATAACTTATGTATGTGTTGATAAAAGTGAATCCACAATACAAATTTGTTGAAACATATAGCGTGTATAAAACAGGCTGAATTCGTGGTGTTATCCAAAAACATGTGAGGAAGGGGTAAATGTATAGTTCACTATATGAGGTCCAGTAAATTTTTAAAATATTTAATGTTTTCAGTCGCAAGATAATAACAGGAAAACAAGATTAAAAAGTAATTAAATTAATAAGAA